ATTATTTCAGATTGATATTGTGAAGAAACGGTGTGGTACGTAACTATAATATTACCACAGAAGTCATTATTTCAGACTGATATTGTAAAGAAACTCTGTGGTACATAAGTATTATATTACCACAGCAGTCATTATTTCAATCGCATATTAATAAAGATTTTTTCATTACAACAATATACAGATAGGTGAATTTAAAATCACTTAAATCACGTCAGAGTGTGTTAGGAGCTCACGACGAGTGCAAAATACACACTTTATGGCTCACTAGCTCTAAATTAACAGAATCACAAATTACACGAAACTCAAAGTAGCTACTGCTCTCTCTTCATTCATTCCCGCTGACTTTCGCTTCAAGCTTATATACTAACAAAGAGGGCATCTCGAACAAACTCGGACTTCCCCGATAATTCGAGAAACTCATCACGCACGCTACCAGCGCCAAGCGCGCCAGCAGCGTCACGTGACTTCCGCTGTCGTAACAATATTATTATAATAATGAATATTTTGAAATACATGAACTTTCATCTAAGGACTACAATGGATAAAATGGATATTATAAACATACAACCTTTTATAAAATATCACAAATTGAACACTTTTTTAATATATATATTTATATAATTTTGATTAGATTATATATTTTTACGACAGCGGAAGTCAAGCGACGCTGGGAACATGCGCGCTGGAGTTTCTAGAAGGATCATGAACTATCGAGGAACCCCGCGAATTTCCGAGTGTTTTCCAGGCACCCTCTTTTCTAGTATACAAGCCTGGCAAATAAAGCCAGCGATAGAGAGATTTGCAGATAGATTAAAGAGATAGATAATTAAGTCAAGCAAACAATAGGCACCGTAAGTAAAGTGTGTCAATCACTGTGATTTATGGCGTGTGTTATAAAAGTTGTTAAGTTTAAAGTGACTGTGGAAATTCTGTGTATTAATTTTAACTACTAGTTTTAATTAAGAAAGGACTTGTATCGCTGAATTTCCTGGAAAGAATTTATACAGGAAATTAACAAACGAGCAGAGACGTAACAATATATATACTTGTATATTTTATCTAAAATTATCAAATCTCGTATGAACCGACTTCTTTAGCTGAATTTATTTTGTATTTACAGAAACGTCACAGACATTTTGAGAAATAAAAATATATTAAATGTGTAAAAATAGCAGTCCTGCGTGTACTTTCGAAGATCTATTTATGTATAAAGCATCATTTCTGAAATTTCAGTTCGTAGGAGTATTCAACACGAATAATGTACTTCAACACGATCATGATTAGGCTTATCACAGCTAAAGACGTTCATCAGTAATACGTGTAACTAAGCCTATCGTGCTTGCAAACAGTAGTAAAGGGACTTGGCAGAATACTTTCGATGAACTCTAGTTCTCAGTGAATTTTCAATTATGTAGTTAATATCACTGTAGTTATATTAAACAACTAAATTATATGGTAATGCCTACTAGCAATATTTGTAATTTATAATTATTATACACATATCAGTAACAAACGATGTAAATACAGCAACTCTGATATCATGTACAACATCAAGAGCTCTGGTATACTGTAGCATCAATATGAGTTTTATGTTAATCGTCTGCTTTAACTTTGACCTTCATTTTTACATCGAACACATGATTTAGCTGTGATAACCCCATCACAGCGACAGTATCCTTTGACAGGAAACTTGTTCAAGGTTTATGTGTAATGTTTAAAAATACTGTATCATACACGAAATAATAAAAATCCATGACTCAATTTAAATACATTATTTCAGAGACTGATATTGTGCATCAACTCTGACTACACTTTTATCGTAGAAGCCTTACTTTCAATAGAAAATCAACAACTGACTTGTATTTACAAAGTTAAGTTACTCAATAATATGATAAATTTCTCGATTAATAATAATATTATTATTATTACTTAAATTCGCAATTCGAATTTTCAACCTGTGATGCACCATATGTTCGTATGGGCTAAATTCCAGGATTGAGAACCTGGGATTTAAACATAGTTGTCCTTCAATTATAACTACTGCCAGAAGGAGAGCAGACAGCCAGAAACAACTGTCGTCACAAGTGCGTTGTTGAAACGTACTGACTATCACTTTAGAAAAGCGCCCACAGTCGAAAGTACAGAGCATATTCAACGACATAATGTCTCAAACCTTGGACTGTGTGATCTGCAGCTCGACATACACACCCGACCTTTAATAATCCACCAATTTTCATATCGTGACAATGAAGAATAAAATATTTAATTCTTTAATTATTATCTGAAAACGAATACAGAATATAATACACGTAGAAGATCCATTTGTCGAACATAGAAAAGTGAAGGAAATAAACAATTACGTTCTCGTGAGATTTGAAACGTGTACGTCACGGACTAATGACCAGTAAACTCTAAAATAAGAAGACTGTACCCTCCCTTATGAGACAATTCGAGTTATTTAAGGAACAGCTAAGCCTACTTGATGAAGTGCAGGATTCCCAAAATTACCGCTCTCGTTAGAATCATTTCATCGAAGTATCTTTCATTTCGCCTGTATCTGACATTCAGGAATTTACTCGTTAGCTGTTACAAGTCTCCACAGAGATGATTAACAAGTTAGCTATCAATATAGCTTCTTGGAGTACTGAAGACAGTCATATGAAAACACACCACGACGCGGAATTCTTGTGGAATTTTCTAATATGGCGTTCATGCCCTTTTTGATTACTGGATTTGTTGTTGTTTTTTAAGTATAAATCAAGCGTGAAAAGCATAATCTAAGTTAGGCTTGACTGATAGAAAAAAAAACATACTATACAAATGACATGCAAAAAATAAATAAAAAAGTTCCTTTCAGATAAGAATTGCCAATATGTGCGTTATTTAGATACTCTTGTATGATTAGAAACGAGGCTTTTGAATGGAATGTAAACTGCAGTGATGTAAAGTATCTTTACGTCCTTAAACTAACTAGTTATAGAACAAATAAACGTTAAACAAGTGAGATCTCTATAGTAAATAAAGATTTGGTATTTTCACCCTAAATGGCACCTTATACGACACTTGTGTTATACGATCAGGTTTACAGACTTTAAGTTTCAGGTAAAGCCTACACTACTTTTGAACTACTGACTAGAGTGAGGGAAACCAGCCAACATCACTCACCGTCTACATAGCTACTCTTAGCTGAATGGTAGGACAGATTGTCATTTTTATACCTCGCTGAATGTGAGGGGCGTGTTCAGTGGCACATCGTGGGCTCAAACCTTGGACCTTGAGATCTACAGGACAGCACATTAACCATTAGGTCTTAACCATCTATTACACTAATAAAATTGAAACTTAAAGTTTCTCAAGCTGTTGACACTGTTTGTTTGAGAAGTAAAACAACTATTAAGTCTGTTTCTTTGAAAAGTAAGCCACAACGTACCTACTTGTGTAAGTAATCAAAATATGTCAGCTTTTCAGGTGGGAAAGTGTTATGAAAAATATCAGTCAAACTTATTATAATTCTAAAGCTTACTAAGTTCCAGTGAGAAAAGTACGTGATGATTAGCCTAATACTGTAAGAATGATACGTTAATGGCGGATCATTTTTATTCCCTCTACCAAATCTTTCGTCGCATACTTCAGTTTATCAGGACGACTATGTTGTAACAATACAACACTGAATCTCACAAAATGACCTTACCTTGTATGATAACACTCAAGCTCTAAATGTCATCATGCAACATGGATGGAAACAAAATGCCCACGCTTCCTAGCACTAACGTTTCTCAAGTACAGTAAGAACAAACCCAATTTGTTAAGCCCTATTATAAGCTGCGCCAACTCTCTGAAGCGTAGGTTTTGGTTTTGTCGGATCGCTTCTTTTGACTGGTGTACTTTCACCAAAGTTTCCTGATACAAGTTGAAATATGAATAAATATTTGTTTAATATTATTTGTGGTTATGTATTAAAAGTTGGGCCGCAGGGGGTAATTGTTTGATTTAGAATTTGAATAATAAATCGGTGCTATGATGCAAATGACATGTTGAAATATTTGTACAACTTAAAAACACGTCGTTTCGGGCGACGCCTTTCTTAATGTCGTTAATATAGAATGACCAAAAATAACGTTGATTCAATTAAATATTATACATCATTACGACAAACTCAGAATCTTATTGTTTTTATTTGTTTGTTATAAACCAAAAAACTGCATAATGAGCTATCTGGGCTCTCTCATCAGGGGTATCAAAATCTTACCCTCAGCGTTATATGTCCAAAAAGTTATCGTTGCGTTATTGGAGGGTAAAAATACAGTGCTGGAAAAAGGAGATAAGACAGGGTAATATTATTTATAACGAAGAAAATTAAAGTTTTACATTGAAAAGGGATGATTACAAGTAATACCATGACATGTAATTTTAAACAATCGTTTTGAAAACAAAAATAATATAATACACGCTATAAATCACAGCGATTCACAATCTCGATAACTTCTTATAAAAAAATTTAAGTTTAAAGTGACGAGAAACGTCCTGAGTGTGGAACTACTGTGTACTGAAAGTTTGTATCAAGGAAGAATAAACTGGTTTAATCAAGAAAGGACTTGTATCGCTGAAGATCCCCGGAAACAAACAAACAAGCAGATACGTAACAATATACAGGTTCTAGATGGAGAGAGTAATCTTAAAAAAAACATCTATTATGAATAACTTCACAATTCTTAAAAAGTATTAGTTGAATCATTGTAAATGAATGTTATATCTGACAAAACAAAATCTATCATAGCTACTAACATTACAAAAATTGGTTTTAATGCATATAATCAATATGATGGAATTATTGAATATAACTAGTACCAGAACTTACAGCAGAACATTCAAAGTATTGAAGTCCATTTTTCTTTGCAAACTCCAACGCAACCTTAGGATAAACTTTTCGTCTCTCTTTTAAGTCAGTTTTGTTTCCAAGAAGCACACCTAAATTAACATGGACAACATTACCTCTCAACATTCTTGACTTAACCTAACCTTCATAATTGACACTGGTTTTGACTTTCATAACAGTACACTTACACAAGGGAAATTAACATGGACAACATTACCTCTCAACATTCTGAACTTAACCTAACCTTCATAACTGACACTGATTTTGACTTTCATAACAGTACACTTACACAAGGGAAATTAACATGAACAACATTATCTCTCAACATTCTTGACTTAACCTAACCTTCATAATTGACACTGGTTTTGACTTTCATAACAGTACACTTACACAAGGGAAATTAACATGGACAACATTATCTCTCAACATTCTTGACTTAACCTAACCTTCATAATTGACACTGATTTTGGCTTTCATAACAGTACACTTACACAAGGGAAATTAACATGGACAACATTATCTCTCAACATTCTTGACTTAACCTAACCTTCATAATTGACACTGATTTTGTCTTTTTTTATTTAAAGTACAACAGTGTGGGAAGTGAATGGGGATAAAGTTTATTATAGAGATTGTTTTGCATTGTCAGTTTAGTATATGGACTTAGAGATAACCTGAATGTCCTAAACTGATCAATCCTCATGTGATGTTATTGAGTTTTGCATTAACAGTGAGGATACTCAAACTGATGAAACAATGAATTCCAATCTTTATAATAAGAGCATAAGAAAAGCATATGTAATTAGCTATACTCATTATCAGACTGACTTTTAAATTCACTTTAAGTAGGTAGCTTTTTCCGATCAAAAGTTAATATCAATTATCTCTCCACATCCATCGGTTTAACATACCTACAAAATTACCAAGGGTTTTGGCTTTCTCCACTACACATATGCATGCACACAGAGCAGGTATAATGTTCTTTCTTACTCAACATCCTCAGTTTAACTTGTATTACTGCCAAGATGTTTTGACCTTCTTCCAGTACACCCACATGTGGAGAGTGAACAGGGACAACATTAGCTCTCCACATCCTTAGTTTAACCTAATCTACATAACTTCCAAAGACATTGGTTTTCTTCACCAACACATGGACAGAGAACAGGGACAATATTAGCTTTCCACATCCTCAGTTTAACCTAATCTACATAACTTCCAAAGACATTGGTTTTCTTCACCAACACATGGACAGAGAACAGGGACAACATTAGCTCTCCACATCCTCAGTTTAACCTAATCTACATAACTTCCAAAGACATTGGTTTTCTTCATCAACACATGGACAAAGAACAGGGACAACATTAGCTTTCCACATCCTCAGTTTAACCTAATCTACATAACTCCCAAAGACATTGGTTTTCTTCACCAACACATGTTAAGAGAACAGGGACAACATTAGCTCTCCACATCCTCAGTTTAACCTAATCTACATAACTCCCAAAGACATTGGTTTT